CTGTTAGTAGAAATTTTCTATTTCATAAATTTAAAAAAATTATTAGATAAAAATAAATTTCAAACAAAACAAACATGTAACAAGATGGAAATAAAAGCGGCTAAATCAACATTAACATGGCGTGGGTGTGCCTCTGACCGCGGCCCAACAGGGTTCCCCTAGCTCGCCCCCCCCCCCTCCTTCACAGGAACTACAGAGCCTGGTGAGAAGCGATGGAAGATGCCACACTTCTAAAAGTTAGCACTGCCAGTTGTAAAAGGTCCTAACCAAACCCCACCAGGAAACAAATGGCCACACATCAAGAGCTGTGGTTTAGTTCATGGAGTGGCTCCTACGGTAACAGGTTCCATATGTGACCAACTGCTTAGAAGTTACATACACTCTCCCCAGAACCCACAGAAGTCACTCCGGCAGAGCAGCCCCCAGGTGACCAGACCTGCGCCCAGAAGAGGGAGTGCTTCCTGAGCTCCAGGCGTCAGTGCAGAAACCTGGGAAACTTCCGTAACCTTCTGATTTACCACCCACAGGCAGCTCTGTGTAAGATCTAACTACGGGCATCTCAGACTTCCTCACAACACAGTAATAATTACTTAACTGAAATCATCAGGAGCTTAGTGATCATAAAAACATAGTCTCTAAGAGAATAAAAAAAATTTAAAAAGTGCCCTAGCCAGGTTTCTCAGTGGTTAGACCATCTGCCCACAGATCAAAGGGTCGCGGGTTCAATTCCTGGTCAAGGGCACATACTTCGCCAGCCCCAGTTAAGGGTACGCATGGGAGGCAACCAATTGAAGTATTATCTCACATCAACGTTTCTCTCCATCTCTCTCCCTCCTCCCTCCCTCTTACTCTCTCTAGAAAACAATGAAAAAAATATCATCGGGTAAGAACTAACAAACAAAAAAAACAATTTTAAAAGTATTTCGCATTTCAGATTTTGAACCAGAATTCCTCTAAGATTTCAAAACGTGGACCATGTTTCATATTCTATTTCTAAAGATCCAATCACAGCTTATCATTTGAAAGGTTCCATATGCTTCCAGAATTTTTAGCTGTTAGTCTGGAAAAATGAGAAACGGGAATAGAAAGTCCCATTAGACAATCCTCGGGATGTGAGAAAACAGATCTAACGCTCGTGGGGAAGGACTGACGTGCAGGCTTCGCCTGACCCCACGCCCTGGGACGCGGCACAAAGGCTCCGTCCGAGGGCAAAGGTCCTCACCCTGAACAGAGCCCAAGTCCACTCAGACAACCAGCTCATGAGGAGCCTGACAAACTGCTGTCCTCCACGTGCTCCCAGTTAGCTCCATCTGGTGGTGTCACAAGGACAGTTATTTCCTATCTGCATCAACAGCCCAGTGTGCCAACAATCCCGGACTCCATTCTTCAACTTCCTATACTTCATGATCGTGCAAAGAAAGTAATTTTGCTGATAAAATTCCACACACAATAAGGTTATTAAATTTTCAGGAGAATCTAAACCTACAGAAATAGATAATTTCATAACAGAAACAATTTTGGCCCAACTTGCAACAAACAAAGGCCGATTTAATTTGAGGAAATACTTTTCAAAGTTTCATCAGAGCTGCTCTGTCAGAAAACCGTAAACAGCATCCTCACTCAGCTCTTAGCGAGGGAGGGAAGCACGGTGCCTAAGAGAATCCCTCCCTAGAAGCCAGCCAAGGAAGGAGAGAGAGGGGAGGGGGCCCTGCCGGCCGCCTCTGCGCTGCCACGTCCTGACTCGGGTGGGAGACCTGAAAACCCAATGGAAAATGCCAACTAAAAATGTTTAAAGAAAAGAAAAACGTGAGAGCAAATTAAATGATAAAATGAACTTAAAAAGAGAACAAGAAATGAGAACACGAGGTGACCCGTATAAAGGGACCACGATTAAAGACTCCGTCTTGGCGTGGTGGTCACGGGGGACAAGAGGAGGCAGGTGCTGCTCAGCATCAGCAGAAAGAGGCCCCGGAGAACCCCCCTCGCTTCTTCTCTAGGTCCGGGGAGGGAAAGCAAAGCTCTGCAAGGCTCAGGCGTTAGGAGCGACGGTGCTTAGGGAGGCCACTGTTGGTGCTGCCGCGGCCCCAGTGCGGACACACTCTAGGCTTCTAGGAGAACAGAAAGGGAGGGAGGAGGAGGAGGGGCAGAAAAGCACAGGTCATTAGTCAACGGCAAGTTCAACACAGAAGAGGCTCATAATCCCATCCTACGCTACCAGGGGCCGAACTGCTCGCAGGGCTGGAGAGAACCTTCTGAAGGAAGCAGAAATGGGAGTTTTCAAAATGGCACCCGTTAGCGATGGCCAGATTAGAATGCAGTCACACATGCTCCAAGAACGTGCATCTTCGTTCCCTCCCTACTCATTCCCACCCCCAGCAACACCGTATGCTCAGTAAAGCGTCTGCTCTAACAGCCACGTGTCCAGTTCAGAAGGCAAACCCCTTCCAGTGTGCGAGCTGAACTCCCCAAGGGAAGGAGGGCCTGCTCTCAGCACCTCCCTGGCGAGGGCTCAGCCAGCAGCTTCTGTGCTGCGACCAGGACTCCAAGCCTTGGGACAGGGAGGCCTAGTCTGTGTGTCCCCGTTCCTGTTTGCTGCCCCATGAGCCTGGGCAGTGGGAAGCAACTGCTGCTTAAACATGACCAGGCTGACATCCTGCTGGAGGAGCCCTCTCTGCTGACAGCCGCTCCCTTCCCGGTGGACATGGCAGCCCCGCTCTCACAAGCCCATCCAATCAATCCCCAGTCTCCTGGTGAAGGAAAGTGACGTTTACTCATGTTTAAAGTTCATGTTCAAGCCTCTTCTTTAATCACAAATGTTTCTGAAAACCAAATCATACTGATGGCTTTGTTTCCAAAGCCGGCACAGGGACTGTCAGAACCACAAAGAACGACCATCATCAAAGAATCACAGACATTTCATTTCACAAAACTGCGGTGGCCCTTCGGGCTGCTTCTTGCTTTTAACGTGAAGAGTTCTGAATTCATGAGTTCTAACAAGGATGCCAATGTCACTGATAAACTAACGGGCACACCAAGCAGAGCCTCATCATCAATAAATCTGAGGAACCAAGAGATGCTCGTCTCTGATGGCCACAGAACACGCCACCGCCCAGGGAAACGCGACTGCGGCCGGCCTCGGGAGGGGAGCACTGAGAGCCAACAGACTCCGGGAGGGGAGCACTGAGAGCCAACAGACTCCGGGAGGGGAGCACTGAGAGCGCCAGCCTCCGGGAGGGGAGCACTGAGAGCCAATAGCCTCCGGGAGGGGAGCACTGAGAGCCAACAGCCTCCGGGAGGGGAGCACTGAGAGTGCCAGCCTCCGGGAGGGGAGCACTGAGAGCCAATAGCCTCCGGGAGGGGAGCACTGAGAGCCAACAGACTCCGGGAGGGGAGCACTGAGAGTGCCAGCCTCCGGGAGGGGAGCACTGAGAGCGCCAGCCTCCGGGAGGGGAGCACTGAGAGCCAACAGCCTCCGGGAGGGGAGCACTGAGAGCCAACAGCCTCCGGGAGGGGAGCACTGAGAGCCAACAGACTCCGGGAGGGGAGCACTGAGAGCGCCAGCCTCCGGGAGGGGAGCACTGAGAGCGCCAGCCTCCGGGAGGGGAGCACTGAGAGCCAATAGCCTCCGGGAGGGGAGCACTGAGAGCGCCAGCCTCCGGGAGGGGAGCACTGAGAGCGCCAGCCTCCAGGAGGGGAGCACTGAGAGCACCAGCCTCCGGGAGGGGAGCACTGAGAGCACCAGCCTCCGGGAGGGGAGCACTGAGAGCAGAGCACCAGCCTCCGGGAGGGGAGCACTGAGAGCCAACAGCCTCCGGGAGGGGAGCACTCAGAGCCGCCAGCCTCCGGGAGGGGAGCACTGAGAGCCAGCCTCCGGGAGGGGAGCACTGAGAGCACCAGCCTCCGGGAGGGGAGCACTGAGAGCCAACAGCCTCCGGGAGGGGAGCACTGAGAGCCAACAGCCTCCGGGAGGGGAGCACTCAGAGCCGCCAGCCTCCGGGAGGGGAGCACTGAGAGCGCCAGCCTCCGGGAGGGGAGCACTGAGAGCCACCAGCCTCCGGGAGGGGAGCACTGAGAGCCAGCCTCCGGGAGGGGAGCACTGAGAGCACCAGCCTCCGGGAGGGGAGCACTGAGAGCCAACAGACTCCGGGAAGGGAGCACTGAGAGCCAACAGCCTCCGGGAGGGGAGCACTGAGAGCCAACAGCCTCCGGGAGGGGAGCACTGAGAGCGCCAGCCTCCGGGAGGGGAGCACTGAGAGCCGAGGGGCCGGAAGGGGGGCCCTCAAGGCTGAGGTCTGCGTCCAAGGGGAGGGCCGGGCCAGGCCCTGCTGTGTTTGCCACGTGGACCTGGGAACCCCATGTCCACCCCGTTGTGGAGGGCACACACGGGGACAGAGAAGACTGTCCGTCTGGCCGACAGTGCCAGCCTGATCACAGGGCAAGCGGAAAGCGCCTCCCCACAGCACCCCAGAGCTCGGCCAGGGCACCTCCCCGCGGCGTGGCTGATGGCACGGGCGGTGCGGTTCTGAGGGGCAGCCACAGGCACTCAGTGCCAGCTGACAGAAGAGCCAAGCCTAGTCACAGGCTCGGAGTAAAGTCAGAGACAGATTTCAGAATGAACAGTTAAGGGGAAAATAAAGAAAAAATCCGGGAAAAGAACTTGACGCTGCAGCTCCCAGTCCCCTGCGCAGAGCCTGGCGGCCTGAGTGCAGTGTGCGCAGGGAGACCTGCCTGCAGAGCTGGCGGGACCGGAGGCCTCACCTCCATAAGCATGTTGTGAAGGCCGATCAATGCTTGTTTGGTACAACTACAACCAATGTCCACCGAATAGCCAAGGACAGTCCTTCCGCCCTGCCCACTGGAGCCGTCACGCGGAGGACGCCCTGGTTCAAACACATCCCACGGGAACCACCACGCCCTGACCCAGAGCCATCCACATGCTTCCTGCGCCTCCTCCAGCAGCTGAGCCGGTGCACTGTGCCTGGGGTTCGGGGACCACTCACCTGCAGGGCCCTCCCCTCCTGGGCCGTGGTCACCGTTGGCCAGCATCGCTGCTTTAGGGGACGGAGTGCCTGCAATCAGCACAGAGAGAGAGCCGTGTGATGAACGGAGCATGGAAACAAATCGAACTCCATCTGGCTAGGAGAGTTGGTGTCAGCCATTAGCTTAAAGCAGATAATAACCAACCCAACATTTAAAGAGCCCATGAAGCCGAAACCAGTTTGGCTTAGCGGTTAGAGCGTCAGCCTGCGGACTGAAGGGTGCCAGGTTCGATTCCGGTCAAGGGCATGTACACTGGTTGCGGGCACATCCCCAGAAGGGAGTGTGCAGGAGGCAGCTGGTCGATGTTTCTTTCTCATTCATGTTTTTAGCTCTCTATCCTCCTCCTTTCTTCTCTGTAAAAAATCAATAAAATATGTTTTAAAAAATAAATAAATAAAGAGCCCATGAAGATCTAGAGCAGAACAGACTGTCATTCACTCCCACAGCCCCAACTCTCCTAAGCACCCCAGCGGGGGTGGCGCTTCTGTTCTGTAAACTGTCAGAGACTTCCTCCCTCCCTCCCGACTCCCACGCACACAAACCTAACGCATCTCCTGAGAGCGTCTCACCCCGCCTTGGGTGGCCTGTACTCTCCTCCCTGTTCTCTCCTGAGAGCCGCTCCCACCTTCCAATTCTTTGTTTGCCCCTTGCTTTTGGCACTTGATTATCGTCCCTAATGAACTGTAAACTCCTGAAGGCCTCTAGTTTGGGGTTCCTTTTTTTCCTCTGTGGCGATAGGGTTCTCAATAAGCATTTGCTTAAAGAATGAATGACCCCTAGCCGGTTTGGTTCAGTGGATAGAGCACTGGCCTGTGGACTGAACGGTTCCCAGGTTCGAGTCCAGTCAAGGGCACATGCCCGGGTTGCGGGCTTGATCCCCAGTAGGAGGCATGCAGGAGGCAGCCAGTCAATGATTCTTACTCACCATTGATGTTTCTATCTCTTCCTCTCCCTTCCTTTCTGAAATCAAATTTTTTTTTTTTTTAAGTAAAAGAATGAATGAATGCCGGGACCGGTTTAGCTCAATGGACAGAGCGTCGGCTTGGGGACTGAAGGGACCCGGGTTCGATTCCGGTCAAGGGCGTGTACCTTGGTTGCGGGCATATCCCCAGTAGGGGGTGTGCAAGAGGCAGCTGATCGATGACTCTCTCTCATCGATGTTTCTAACTCTCTATCTCTCTCCCTTCCTCTCTGTACAAAATCAATAAAATATATTAAAAAAAAAAAAAAAAAAGAATGAATGAATGAATTGGAGTAAGTCTGATTGCCAGCAGTATATGGGTGGCAGAATAGGAGATAAGAGAGAGAATGCAAGTCAAGAAACACCTGTTAAATTAAAATTTCTAAAAATGAAACAAAGTATTAGAGATTATCCTTTTAAAATACTTTAATTTTCGATTTTCTTCACAAACAGTTAAATCTGTTTTTATAATCAGGGAAACAAAGCTATTGACACGATTTCAAACAAGACCAACACCCAGAGACCACGAGTCCTATGCTGTTTCTCTGTTTTCAGAAGAAACCACATGGGGAGGCAGGAAGATGCCGAGCTCCCGAGCACGCCGGCAGGAAGAAGCGCACATTTCCAGTCAGAAACACGGGCTCCCGGCCGGGGAATCCGTGCCCACGCAGAGCAGAGCATTCAGGTGAAGGGAGGTGGGGGACACACAAGACAGCGGGGGAGGATGGCAGTTTACGGGCAGGTAGTTTATATCTTTGGTATCTCTACCTGTGCAACTCAGAATTCCTCAGCGGCAGAAAGAGCCTGACCAATTAACCTGTTTTAAGGAAATATCTGCTTTTCTTTTCTTTTTCATTGATTTTTAGAGACAGAGAGAAAGATGGAGGGACAGAAAACCATCACCATCAATGAGAAACATGACTGGATGCCTCCTGCAGGCGCTCAGGGACTGAACCCGAGACCTGGGTATGTGTCCTGACTGGGAATTGAACCTGCCACCTTTTGGAGTATGAGATGACACGCCAACCAACTGAGCCACACCGGCCAGGGCTCTGCTTTTCTTTTAGACTAGAGTACCATAATTATGAAAGATAACTCTTGGTACTATTTCTTTTTCTTTTCCCAAAAAAAATAATTAAGAGATACATTTTCAAATACAAAATTTAAAGACATTATTTTTACAAAAATATCACACTGCCCAGCTGGTGTGGCTCATCAGTTGAGCATCAACCAAGGAACCAAGAGGTCATGGGTTCGATTTCCCGGTCAGGCCACATGCCAGGGAGGCACTCTGTCCCGTCGGGGGCATGCAGGAGGCAGCTGAACGATGATGATTCTTTCTCATCTCATTTATGTTTCTCTCTCTATCCTTCTTCCTTCCTCTCTCTCTTTTAAAGTCAACGAAAACATAACTTTAAAGAAAACATCATGCCGATTCCTTTATGAAATTCCTTCTTCTCAGGCTCTCAGGCGCACCCCCTGGGAGTCATCCTGGAGTCGTGGTGGGCAGTAAACGGGCGCTGTGCCCTAGGGGAAGTGCTGGCGGCATGGCATCAGGGCAGGCCAAAGGGAGTGGTGCAAGAGCATGAGGAGAGGGTTGTGAGAGAGCTTTCTCGGAGAAGACCAGCGAGGTGAGGAGATGAACAGGGGGTGAGCAGCTTGTGTTCAGTGAGGGAAAGATCATGTATGTTTAATGCTGGTGAAGGAGCAGTTGAAAGGCGCTGATGAGGCAGAAGGCAGAGAGGTCATCGCTGTACGCGGTGCTCTTGGGTTAGGGCACAAGCAGTTCACCCGTAACGAGAGCCCAGAGTGAAAGGCGAAGGTGAGGGTGGGCGAGGAGAGGGAGGGGCGGGTGTGGACGTTCTCTGATGGCTGAGACTACCATTCTCTTTCCTCAAGTCAACTGGAACGAGGAGCGGGAGCAAGTCCTGGAGGCCTGAACGGAGGAGGTGGCGAGGAGCAGTTTCTGGAAAAGTGGGAAACTAAAAATGCCTGTGAATTCACAGCAGAATCCTCAAGTTCATGCTCTCTGTGTAAATAAGATTCCTACATTTCCTGGATGTAGTATTTGTATGTCTAATAATAAGTGGATCTTTAGTTTTGAAAAACAGTATCTATGAGACATTAAACCAAGCAGAGAGTATGCATGAAGCTAGTATGGTTTCACAGAAAGAATGAAAGTTTAAAGTCAGGAAATCTGGACGCAGATTCTGTCACTATTGACTAAATGATCAATTGCAAATCCTTCGTGCTTTCTAAGCCTTAACAGCCTCAATTGGAAAATGGGACAATATCTACCTCCCATGGTTATCATGAGGACTAAGTGCAAAGATATTGGAGGCAGTACTGTGTCAACTGTTAAGTAAACGTAATCAGCTATTGTTATTCTCACTAGAGGCCTGTGCACAAAATTCGTGCAAGGGGCAGGGGGAGGGTGGAGTCCCTCAGCTTGGCCTGCACCGTCTCCAATCTGGGACCCCTCGGGGGATGTCCAACTGCCTCTCGAAATACGGGACCTGTGGCTCCTAACCTCACTCGCCTGCCTGATTGCCCCCAACCACTTCTGCCTGCCTGCCTGATTGCCCCTAACTGCTCCCCTACTGGCCTGATAGCCCCTAACTGCTCCTCTGCTGGCCTGATCACCTCTAACAGCCTCAGCCTCAGCCTCAGCCTGCACCTGGGACCCAGGATTCCCCCCTCTGACTGGTCGCAGGCACCCAGCACCTTGGCCGGCTTCACCCAGGCCAGCCACAGGGGACCATGGGGCGGGCGGTTTGTTCCTCTCCCCGGCCACAGCCTGGCTGGTCCCTATTCCTCTCTCCCCAGTGTCGAGTGTCTGAGCCTTTATGGCATGATGGCCTAATGACCATTTCCATATTATCTTTTTTTTTTTTTTAATATATTTTATTGATTTTTTACTGAGAGGAAGAGAGAGGAATAGAGAGTTAGAAACATCGATGAGAGAGCATCATCGATCAGCTGCCTCTTGCACACCCCCCACCGGGGATGTGCCCGCAACCATGGTACATGCCCTTGACCGGAATCGAACCCGGGACCTTTCAGTCCCCAGACCGACGCTCTACCACTGAGCCAAACCGGTTTCGGCTGCATATTATCTCTTTAGCATATAGATTGTTAATAACTGCAGATTGATTGATTATAGATTGGCTAAACTATAGACCAACTTTACATAACTACAGATTCTATCACTAAATTATAAAGTAACCTTTGAAAACCCTGAAATTTACTTTTGCCTTATAAAAAAATCTAACTTAAATGACATTACTAGACTAGGCCATAATTGTGAGACTACTAATATAAAAGCAACTTATCAGAATAAAATGAAATAGCAGCAAAACAGAGGTTACAAGAAAAACTCTAAGCGCAGGAGAGAAGAACAGAAACAACCCTGCCACATAAAGCACGAGATCTCGGGGAAGAAAAAGGCTGCATGCTGCCCTGCAGGAGAGACGTGCTGGGCTCATCACTGCGATGCTGTGCGTTGCTGGCAAGTCCTGATTCCAAAGATGCTATGCTGCCTTTTCCACGGATTTCCCCAGACTCCCACTTCATGAAATGAAAACTCGCACAGCAAAACACACACAGCACTGACAGCACAGGTTGTTTTTTAACTTATCACATGCCCTGAGAGAGAAGAATACTCGTTTCCTTGGTTTTCTAAATCTCTCCTTCCACGAGAGCTCTGAGTGCCACACCGGCGGGCCAGTTTGGCGGAGAAGCAGCTCTGGCTGAGAGGTCCCGCGTCCTGTGGGAAGAGCCCGGTGGCTTGGGCATGGTCCCAATGCCAGGGCACCTTCTTGTGCAGTGAGGCCTGTGCCTATCTCGCCCTCTGGTGGCCACCTGAAGTGGGCTGTGACGCCGCAACAGGAGGCTGAACAAGAAGAACCCCACACCCAGGTCACCCTTTCTGCAGCTGAAGCGAACCGTTCTCCGGGCAGTCCTCTCCGTGTAGGATAGGGGTGTCGAACTCAATCAGAGAAGGGGCCAAAATCTAAAATCCAGCCTAAATCGCGGGCCGAATGGTTTACTGAACAGTCATAAACTGTCATTGTGATGGAAACGCAGCGGAGTGCAGTGATGACAGCGCGGTGCGGGCCACATTGCAAGGCCTGGCGGGACGGATTTGGCCCGCGGGCCTTGTGTTTGACACATGTGGTGTAGGACATGCATCCCAGTCACCAATAACAATTTGTCAAAACACAGATCGCTGGGCCCCACCCCCGGAGCTTCTCCTCCCCTGTGGGCCCAAGAACTGCAACTTGAACAAGCTCCCAAATAATACTGATCCTGCTGGTCCAGAGGCCATACTTTGAGAAGCACTATCTTAGATTAAAACAACAGATGGAGCCGAAACCGGTTTGGCTCAGTGGATAAGAGCATCGGCCTGCGGAATGAAGGGTCCCAGGTTCGACTTCGCTCAAGGGCATGTACCTTGGTTGTGGGCACATCCCCAGTAGGGGGTGTGCAGGAGGCAGCTGATTGATGTTTCTCTCTCATTGATGTTTTAATTCTCTGTCTCTCTCTCTTCCTCTCTGTGAAAAATCAATAAAATATATTTTTTTTAAAAACAGATGAAAGAAGTAGAAAGCAACTAGAAAAATGATAGATTTAAATCTAATAATCATATTAAATATAAATAGTTTGAACATATCAATTAGAAGACAAGGCTCTTTAGACCAAATAGCAAGACATGTCTATATTCTGTCTATAAGAAACTCACTTTCACTAAATATAAAAGAGGAAATATGTTGAAAGTAAAAAGATGAAGACAGCTATATTCTGCAAACACTAGTCAAAAGGAAGCTATGGTGGCTATATTAATATAAGACAAAAATTAGACTTCAGAACAATGTTATCAGGAATAAAGAGAGAGCATAAGAGGGTCAATCTACCCAGAAGACATATTCCACGTGTACATGCACATGACAGCAGATCTGAAAATTCATCAAACCAAACTGACAGGAGTAAAAGGAGAAACAAATCCACAAAATTACATGAAGGATAGACTCAATTGTAAACATCAATTCTAAACAAACTATCCCAGAAAATTTTCCAAATCATCTTATGATGCCAACATGACTTCAATTCTAAAACTGGACACAAGCCTCACAAGAAAACAACAAACTCATATCCTACATGAACACAGATGCAAAAAACTCTCAAATATTAGCAAATGTGACCCAAGACCATATATCGATAAAAGCAGCAAATCTCTTTTAAAGACTTTAATCACGTTTTAACCCAGATCTGGTATTGCTCCCAGAGTCAAGTGGCATCTGATTCCATTCTAAATTAAGTCCTCGTGTATACACAAAATTTTATGTCTATAACTTCTCAAAGAAAAAGCACAGCAGCCAGTTTAGTGTAGGAAATTCAGAGACAGATTATACAGAAGTTGACAGCTGCAGAAGAAACCTAGGGTTAAAAGCCATCTATAGGCCCAGCTGGCGTGGCTCAGTGGCTGAGCGTTCACCTACAAACCACAAGATCACGGTTCGATTCCCTGTCAGGGCAAAGGCCCATGTTGAGGGCTCCATCCCCAATGTGGGGCCTGCAAAAAGCAGTCGATCAATGCCTCTCTCTCATAGTTGATGTTTCTATTTCTATGTCCCTCTCCCTTCCTCTATGAAATGAATAAAACGTATATTTTTAAAAAGTGATCTACAATATAATGAACACATAGTCAATTAAAGCCTATGAACCTAGCTCCTTGGTTTTAAATAAAGAAGTTTTGCTCCAGGGCAGGTTCCTGGCCTACACTTAACAACTCAGCTCAGTGCCCTCAAGTTTCCAAGACTGTACCCAGAGCATAATGCCTCAGGTCTTTTCCGCACATACGGCCAGCGTGGCTGACTCGCTCACCTTCCACCTGGCCAGGATCTGGACGTGGTTTCTTCTTTGACTCCGAATTCCCCGTCTTCTCATCGACATCCAGGAGGGGAATGTAGTCTGTCTTCCCGACAGTCTCTCCCACGACGTCGTCGTAGGCCTCTGCCTCCAGCGTGGCGATGAAGTCCCGCTTAATCTCCCCCTCGATCTCTGGAGGCGGCTCTGTTAACGCATCTGCAAGACTGAGGTCAGCCATTCTGCACCACTGCGCTGCCTGTGAAGAGGGGAAAGGTTCAGTGATGAGCTCGGCAAAGGGGAAAACATTCCTAGAAACTGGTCGGTTCCTTAAACAGCAGCAGGAATATCCAAACTCTAGACCGAAAGGGACGCCTCGTGGACAGACTGGGAAACTGAAGCTCAGCCACCGCCAGCCCTTCCTCCTCACCTCCCTGGGAAACAAGCAGAGCAGGCGCCCTGCTGACCTCTTCATTGGTAAGAAGCATGAAGTGCATTCAAAAAATCGTTTATCCTAGGTTACAGCCATTGAAGATCAAATCAGGTCTTTTGATTTCCAGTCTTATAACCCTTCCAAATATTCCATATATCTTAATTTCCAAGTCGTATTCCAGAATAATTCTTTAAAAAGAATCAACAGAGAGGTCAGATTCCCATTTTAAAAAGGTCTACTGCCCTAGCCAGTTTGGCTCAGTGGATAGAGCATCATCAGCCTGTGGCCTGAAGGGTCCCAGGTTTGATTCCAGTCAGGGGCACATGAGCGGGTTGTGAGTTTGATCCCCAGTAGGGGGCATGCAGAAGGCAGCTGATCAGAGATTCTCTCTCATCATGGATGTTTTTCTATCTCTCTCTCCCTTTCCCTTCCTCTCTCCCCTCCCCATTCCTCTCTCTCTCCCGCTCCCGCTTTCTCTAAAAATCAATGGAAAATATATCCTCAGGTGAGGATTAAGAACAACAGAAGTAATTGCTTTTTTCTTTCCTACCTATGATAATTATTATTATCAGTTAGGCTATGAAAACTGTTATGAACCAAAAACAATAAAGAATGTCTAATTAGTTTCATAATCAAAAGAGAATTTGAAAGGACACCTAATACTATCTTTAATGCATACAATAAGAGCCAACTAGATTTGTCTGTGCCAGAAAAATATAATTATGTCACTTATTTCACACAATCAACTCAAACTTTTTCTAAGCTGGGACATGGGGAAGTACAGGAAATCCCGCGATGCACTGTAAACCTCTTGTATCTGAGTGCAGATCCTCACAGAGCAGCTTTACCCTCTGTAACCTGTCCCCTCACCACGCCCCACCACCGCACTTCCCAAACCACGTCCGGAGCTGGCACACGGGTCCTGGAATATGAACAACAGTTTAAATTCAGCCTAACAAGGTTCCTGTCACCAAATATAAAGAGAAGTATGATTTCCACATACATGCACATGCGCACGCGCACACACACACACACACACACACACACACACACACACATCTCCTTATGGAAACGGACCCTGTGAAAGCAATGCTCATGTGGTGTTGGAAGTGAAAGGACTGGCTCTTTAAAGCTCGTTTTTCAATGATCGGAGAGATCACCCAGGTGTGTAGTTCTTCTCTAAAACATACAATCAGTTCCTTTAAGTGCCATACAGATTTGTTAAACTGGTTCTGCAAGTATTCCAGAATGGATTTTAATAAATTCATGAACAAATTTATTCTCATACACTCTTTTGAGATCACTTAATATTCATTTATGCATTAAAATGTTTAGTCATGTAGTTTATGGACAAAAAGATGACATAACACAGTGTTATGTCAAATCTGGAGAGTCAGATCCAAAAATGAACCCTTGTGAATAATTATCTACTTTTCAAAGATCTCTCTCGCTACTTATACTATCTGTCTGTTATTCACACAGCCAATAGGGAAAGCTAACTGTAAAGGGGTGTGTTCAGCAGAGGCCAGAGAAGAAAGCTGGGTGCAGAGTCTGCTTCGTGGAGCACTAGTTCACGGACCCTCACTGGCTGTGAGTGCGCCCCCTTCCAGGGCCGAGCTCCCTGACCTGTCAGAGGAGAAGGTTTGTCCCGCGATTCCTGAGCTTGACTGGCCTAAATAAGCTACTTATAACTCCATTCCTTCACTTACGTTAGAAATAAACAAACGAACTTCATATAAATCTCCAATGTAAATGTAAACTTGCATTATTACATTAGTATTTTCGATATCAGGTACTCATATTACTGGGTTTAGGTTTACTACAGAGCTTTTTAGCAAAAGGAAGACTAAACCTCATCAGTGCACGGGCCCTGTTTGAGCAAATCTCACCAGAGGCTAAGAAACTCCGCCCAGCACTGGCTCACAGCGGAGCCCTGACCCCGCTGCCAGAGCAGCAGCCCGCCGTCCGTCACCGGCACCAGCCCGGCACCAGCCCGGCACCCACACACCCGATCTTCACCTGACGGCGTGTGAGTGAAGCTCCTGGTGTTCGGAGGCTCTGGAAACAGGTAAGACGAGGCAACAGACAAGGACAGGACACGATGAGATGGCACAGGAGACGACTTTGGCCTCCTGACTCCCTCTTACTATGAATAGCTCTGGATTCATCCGGAGCACATAGAATATAGGATGAGGTCACAAACACCTTCTCGGGGATGTGGTTTACTTTAGGTCACAAACTCTGAAATTAACTGCTGACCTGAGAACATTTTCTAGGTCTACAGAGATTAAATCGTGTCCATATCTGATTTAAATACATGGCTCACTCTTTCTGATGAAAAATTAGTCATCAAGTTTGCAAATGGCCTCCTCTACCTACCACCCCAAGATGCTGCCTAGGAGTTAATGTGGAAGAAGAAAACTCGTGAAAAGGAAGAATAAGCAGTCACTGTTCATACACTGTAATACTTTTATTTTACTGTTACATTAGCCAAACGTCTACCAAGATTCTTTCGCCTACCAAGATTCGTTCGTCTATCAAGATTCGTTTGAAAGTCAGCATTCTCTTTTAAAAAGTATAGAATCCTACTTCATAATTCAAAAAAAAGGGGGGAAAAAGGATAGCCTGGCAGGCGTGGCTCAGTGGTTGAGCATCAGCCTATAAACCAGGAGGTAGGGGTTCAATTCCTGGTCAGGGCGCATGCCCTGGTGGCAGCTTGATTCCCAGCGGGGTGTTCAGGAGGCAGCAGACCAAAGATTCTCTCATCATTGATGTTTCTCTCCCTCCCTCTTTAAAATCAATAAAAACATATTTAAAAAAATAAAATAAGTAAAAGGGAGGAAGGGTTAAATAAAAAGACAACATTTCTTATCTAGTAGCTTTCCTCCTAATTCCAGAGATAAATTCCACAGAAAGTGTCTGAGATTCTGGGTTAGTATGAAAAGGGAGAAAACTAATTTAGCAACATGAAATATTTCAGGGAACAAAGCTGATCTGGAAAAGATATCAAAGTTGGGAGGAGAGGGCAAGAAGTGCCCACAACCAAGGTACATGCCCTTGACCGGAATCGAACCCGGGATTCCGCAGGCCACAGACCGACGCTCTATCCACTGAGCCAAACTGACCAGGGCCAAAAGTATATTTTATTCTAAGTAAAAGCACATCTTCATGAGAGACCTTTAAGGGACTCAGCTACCATCTCCTGCAGCTCAGAGGCACATGTCCCCCAGGGCAGGCTAATCTGAATTTCTCCTGCTCATCCCCAGAACCAGACTGGCAAATGGCAACGGACAGCGCAGCGACAACTTGACTGTCCTGAGCAGTTAACTCCAAACTTAGGCGGACATGCTAGCTGTCTCCCCCAGAGCCCGGTACCCGACAAGGACAGCAGCGGTGTTAGCACAAACGACGGGCTTCCGGGCCCGGCGGCGGCCGTGTCCGCCCTCGGTAGCAGCAGGGGAGCCCTCACTACGCCGATGGCGGAGGCCGTGGCCCAGCTGGTACGTTCTCCTTCCAGGCAGTCCCCGCCCCAAACAAAGAGCTCCTCTTCCAGCTGCTATCTGGGGAGCCCTGTCCTCCAGACAAACACTGCGCACACAGGCACGACGACGGACGCACCACCTGCAGCACCAGACAGAAGCCTCGCTCACCCTGCACTCAATCCCCCAGAAGGCACTGCGGATCTCCAGAGCACCTGCCTGTTACATTTCTCCGTGAATTAAACCTATTTCTCCCCAAAGGCTCATCTGCACAGATACCTCCCACTGCTAGCCATGTGATCCAGTCTGCCGAACAGTTATGTGGGCCAAACCGGAGACCGTGACACAGCACTTACATCCCTGCGGGAGCCACCTGAAGAGTGAGTCTTCAATTTTTCTCATTAAAAAAAAAGGGGGGGGGCAAATTTTAAGAGGATTCTCAATACCTAATGCCCCCAATCTGGAAAAAGAGAAAGTGGGGTGTTTTTTTTTTAACTTTACTATTCATCCCATGTATTCTTCCTCAGTCCCAAGACAAAAAACAAAAACAAAATACAACCAGTTTGCTTACACCTACCCACTTCCACTCTCACAGGCTTGTTAAACTACCAGCTCCCGCCGGGACCTATTTGGCTCAATGGATAAAGCGTCGGCTTGGGGACTGAAGGGCCCCGGGTTCGATTCCTGTCAAGGGCATGTACCTGGGTTGCGGGCATATCCCCAGTAGGGGGTGTGCAAGAGGCAGCTGATCGATGATTCTCTCTCATCGATGTTTCTCTCTATCTCTCTCCCTTCCTCTCTGTATAAAAATTAATAAAATATATTAAAAATATAAATAAATAAATAAATAAATGCCAGCTCCCGCCTGCAGAGGACCAAAGGAGAGCTGGCAACAAGGCACATAGGCGGGCTGGGCGTGGGAGCACAGGACGAGGGGGGACGAGGGGGGACAAGGGGGCTGAGGGGGGACGAGGGGGGACGAGGGGGAACGAGGGGACGAGGGACCAGAGCAGCAGAGACAGAGGGTGTGGCACAACGGGCCCAGTCTTCTCATTGTGTGGGTTCCGCCTCTACCGAACACACTGCCCGTCTTTTCTTCTCAAAGGGACTAAGGCAGTTGGGAAGAGTCCTAACACCCAGAAAACATCCCAGCTGATTAAAGAAGCCCTAATGCCTATTAAAAACGAAAGAAATCCCCATCTTTAGTAGACGATCAAAGCCACACAAGCCCAGAAGGCCCAGCCCTGTCACCTGCCACAGCCATCGATGCAGGCTCCATGGAGGCCCCCTGCACGCAGTGACATGAGACAACGGCCATGTTACCAGCAGGCAGACATTCCACTTCACAGAGGTCAGAGCGAGCACCTAATGTGTGCTTTAGCTAAAGGCAGCCCAACCCTGAGGACTGAAAGAAACCCTCTGCCTCCTGGTCCAGAAGTTCATCGGGCACTGGCCCTGGTAAGATCAGACAGGGCCTTCTACCTTCCACACGGTAGGAAAACAGAATTCCTGAACATGGCATTCCTGTATCCCACTTTCCCTGCCCGTCTCCGCACCTCCGTGCGTGTGGGGGCCCGGACAGAGGTCTGAACTACATGTGGGCATCCTCCTCCTTCACTGCCCCCGTCCCCCTGCTGTCAGCCCACCGCCTGCGGCGAGGAAGGCTTCCTCCTGCCGTCGCCGCGGCCTCGCTGCAGCCTCTCTCCACGCCCTCCTGGTATGTCGGTCCACACCTGTCACCGCTCTGACTGCCGTTGGTTAGAATCAGTCCTCCCAGCGCCATTCAGACCACGTGGTCTGTGCTTCTTCCCACAGGGCGGTCTGACGGTGCTGTAGGCCCGCCCTCTACACTAGCAAAAGGTTCTAAAATGCTGCAACGGAAATTACGTGTTTTAAAGGTCTACTTTGAAACGAATCGGAGGTGTCAAAATGACAAAAACTCCAGAACTGGAAAAAGAATAAATCAAGCCAAGACGGAAGGCTCATCGCTAATTAGGAGTATCTGCCTCATTCCTTCTGCTTTGCAAACACATGCCAGAGCCGTGGTGGGGAGAGCCAGTGGCAGCCCTGCCAGCCAGCTCTCGGGCCGCTCACCTCATCACCACGAGGCCGCAGTAAAAATAGCTGGCAGAGCAGCACATGATGCAACGGGCAGCAACAGACAGGCTTTCAAAAGGAGACCGCGGCCCCACTGACGGGAGGTGCATCACTGGTCAGGATGGGAGCTTTCACACCCTTAACACGTTAGTACCAGCTCACGTCTGTGCAAGGACGATCCGTTATGTAATGTTGGGGGCTCAGGGCTGGAGAAGCTGACAAAGGGAAGAGTGTTCACACCTCACTGGCTTTTAAAAACGTTTCATTTGAGAAAAGCCTCTCCACACAAAGCGAGTCCCTGAAGAGCAGAGCCCAGTCCGCCGTGCTTCAGGGCCCTTCGCCAGCATGGTGTGACACGGCGTTAAAGGAGCCATGTGCTTCTATTCCAACTACTGAACACAGGAAGGCACAGCATTCAGGATGGTGATACACTCTGGGGGCAAATTTCAATTTCAAATTTCAACAGGAAAGGGATAAACAAGGAGCTTAGGAAAGTCCAATTTTGTAAACTGGGTTGTAAATTCCCAAAAATGTATCTTTTTATTACTCTTAAGCTTTGCATATATATTTTACATAAAAAAGGTCTACATGATGCCAGGCCAGCATGGCTCAGTGGTTGAATGTTGCCCCATGAACCAAAAGATCACGGTTGACTCCCAATCAAGGCACATGCCAAGTTGCAAGCTAGATCCCCAGTAGGAGGCATGCAGGAGGCAGCTGATCAGTGATTCTCTTATCATTCATGTTTCTGTCTCTCTCTCCCCCTCGTTCTTCCTCTCTCTGAAATCAATAGAAAGGGAGGTGGGGGCGAATTCTAAAACAGCAGCTTTTGAAATCAAAGCTGAAAAGCTTTTGCTGACTCTTCAAGTTTAGTCTTCAGTGGGCAGCGAGCAGAGAATGTGCCTCCTCGCTGGAATGAGCCTCTATCGGCCGCAAGTCTGCATGTGCGACCTTTCAGAGTGCGAGCTGGCTGTTCTGCTCCCACTAGCGGCTGGCAGACTGAACGCGGGCAGCCAACGACCTGGGGGCTCTGATGGCGGCTTTGTTCAATAGTCACGGTGTTTCTTGTACGAGCACTGGAAGATTTTCGGCATAAATGCATTTTTAATCCTTCAAAAATAAGCAAGGCATAATAAAATACAATAGTTTAAACCACAAGTGAAATTACAAAAGAAAATAACATGATATAACCACTGGGGGAGAGGAGAGGAAACTCCTAAATACAGCAAGCACCGAAGAGTTTACAAACTGAAATTACAAAGACTTCCAAACTAAACTTCTAAGAAATTCTGGAGTAAATTCTAAGCAATAGGAGGAAGACTTTGGTGGTGAAGACAGAATGGAGGAGCGTGCAGGCAAACGGGCGTTTGGCAGGCTGTGCTCAGGTGATCCCGTGCCTGCTCTCGGAGCGCTCACCATGCCTCCACCTGCCACCGGCAGTGACACGCTGAGCCCCCTCCTGAAGGCTCTGCCAGTGGAATGAAGATGCAGGCAGTGCTCCACCCCCACATGGAAGCAGCTCGCCCCGGCTGTGCTCTTTGCTCTCCACCAAGTCAACAGAAAGGGCCCGTGGATGAAAGAACCAGAAGTCCTCGTCACAGGAAGCAAGACAGAAACCTCTGCAGCCAAGGCAGTGGGTTCAGTGCCCCATCAGGGCGAGTACAAGAATCAACAATGAGCTCATAAATAAGTGAAACAACAAACTGATGTTTCTTTCTCTCTCTCCTTTCCTCTACCTCTAAAATAAAAACTTATAAAAAGAAATAAGCCCTACTTGTGTAAAGCCATTAAAATGTTAGATAAGTTATAGCAGATAGCATTAATTGCCCAATTAATACGAGGATCTTACGTATCTCACATCCTCGTTTTACAAGTAAAAACGATTGATAAAGAGACTTCCCAAAAACACTAATAGAAGAAACAGGTTCGTCTTTTGTTGTAAGACCACAAAAAAGGCAGTAAAATAGACAGTTTCCCATATAACATGAGGGACCTTAAATTTCTACAGAAATACTGTGGAAGTCTTACAGACATCCATCCCAATTACTGTGACAGACCCTGGTTCTCTCATTTGGACAGGTATCAGTAAAATGTGGCTGAAATTACTAGAGATTTCATATATCACAACAGACTCATACATTACATAAAACCTTATATGATCTGTTTCTCTATTACCCTCACTTTCTAAGGAATATATCTAAAGTATTATGTACTACGTTAAGTATATCACGTGAAAATGCTATTTGTAACCATGTCTAAATACATATCTTCTGATTATACCTTTATTTCTATAGAGAAGAAAAAGAAAATCCCAGTATATTTAATACTATATATAGTTTTTAGCCATTACTCAGATTTAAATAGTTCATCTGGCTTCTCTTTACCTGTTACACTGGATATAAGACCTTGGGCAAGTCACCTCGCTTAATTTGTATTATATAAACAGGATTACCCATAGTCTTTTTTAGGCATATAATTTTGTTTTTTTATTTGTTAAATACATTGTTATTTATTTTAGAGAGGAAGGGAAAGGGAGACCGAAACATCGATGATGAAAGAGAATCATTGATTAGCTGCTTTCTACATGCTCCCTGTGGGGATCGAGCCCGCAACCCAGGCCCCGAACTCGGAATCGAACTCAGAGCCTTTAGTCCGCCGGCTGATGCTCTATCCGCTGAGCCAAACCAGCTGGGGCTGAGCCTACCATTTTGACTATGATTTCCCTGTTCAGGCCAACAAAACATACTGAATACTTAACTAGTGGTGGAACCATAAAAATCACTGACATTGGCTCTGCTGGCCTATAAAACTGCATCTTTGTAAGATTTGCCTTAACGGTTTTGAAAGTACACACTCACACACCTTTTAGAAAAACCAGGATGCTGATTTAGGAGCTCCTAAACTGATGTCATTAGAACCGGAGAGTAAATTCTACAATCTGAAGAGAAAAGCCTTTTATATAACTTGTACATTTCTCTTCTCCTGAGCATTTATAACTATGTCTATTTATAATTTAAAAAAAAATTAGTCAGCTGATATATTGGATCATAATACCAAATTCAAATGTTTTGTCCAAGATTCCTGCAGTTACTGTGTAAAACATAAAACCCACCAGACTAGTATTACATCAGTTTAGACTCCTATTTAAAGATTTAGGATTAAGTTTTTGTCAGACTCACAGAGGATTGAATTCCTTGTAAATAGCTAGTCATTCCCATAAAAGAATAAATTATGGAAGCTCATATTACATCCCAGTAAGTTCAAAGGTTTCTCTGAAAACTGCCAATCCATACGCAGCAGGAATTAGACTGTTCTCGGGACAGAGGTGTGTGCTCCTGGCCAAATCATTTTATATCAATACACTTTATTCCAAAGAGCACCAGAACCAAATGGACAAATTATTTTTATTGTTTACAGTATTACAAATAGTAGTATCTATGTCTTCTTTCAAATGGACAAATTTTTATAAGCATGTGACAGCTGACCTAAATATGTAAAAACCATTAGCTTGTATTCTTTCTTTTTTTTAAAATATATTTTATTGATTTTTCACAGAGAGGAAGAGAGAGGGATAGAGAGTTAGAAACATCGATGAGAGAGTGTCATCAATCAGCTGCCTCTTGCACACCCCCTACTGGGGATGCGCCCGCAACCAAGGTACATGCCTTTGACCAGAATCGAACCCGGGACCTTTCAGTTCCCAGGCTGACACTCTATCCACTGAGCCAAACCGGTCCCGGCCATTAGCTTGTATTCTTAGAGGACATGAAAACTTGCTTCCATTGCCTTTACTCTTTTCTAAACCACCTTCTTGGTTTAAAAAAAAAAAAAAAAAAAGTCTGAGTCAGAGAAGATAATAGTCTTTTCTTATCTCTGTAGATTAGCTTCCAAAATGTAGTTTTTCAGATTTGCAGTTAAGAGTGATTCATATCGCTGAAACCGGTGTGGCTCAGTGGATAGAGTAGGGGTGTCGAACTCAATCAGAGAAGGGG